GGGGGCCCAAGGGGCAGCCCCAGGGGCCGGATGAGGCTGACGAAACCGGTCTTGACGGGCTAGTTTCGGGGCGCCAGCCCCACCGGCCTGCTTGTCCTCCTCCAGCGGCTGATGGCAGCTGCTTCTCCAGCAGCCGGTTGCGGCGCTCCAGGTAGTGCCCCTTTGCCATGAAGCAGTGGAAGCGGAGGTTCAGGGTCTTGAGCACGTTGATGTTGGAGCCCAGGTCGTTGCGGAGGGCCATGGCGGCGGGGGGCGCGGGGCCCGGCCCGGGCGGCGAGTAGGCAGCCGGGCCCGGAGGGGCGCGCGGCGACGGGGACGCGTCCCCACCCCCCGCGAAGCGGTCGCCTCCCAGAGGGTCCCCCGGCGGCCCGGCCAGGCCCTGCTGCTCCTGCTGTAGGAGGAAGAGGTTGGGACCGAATAACGGATTCATGGCTGCGCCTTCTGCTGGGAGATGGAGCCCGGTGCAGGGGCAGGGATGCGGGGCGAGGGAGAAGGGCCAATGAGGCGCCCGGGGGATGCAGGACAGCCAATCAAACGGCTCGGCAGAAAGGGCAGAGGTCAGGGGGGCGGGGGAGGGCGCAGAGGAAGCCAATGAAAGGCTCAATCTGAGGTTGGCACCTCAACTTTTGAGGGTCTGAGGCAGAGCCCAGAGCTGAGCAGAGCACGAGCCAGCGCTTCTCTGAGCGCCAGACCCGTCTGTGCCCAGACCCCAGCCAGGGTGGCCGAAAACCCAACCCTCCAGTCCGCCATGGGTCCTGGTGGCAGGAAGCCCATCTCCCCACACCCCTATCGTCCTCCTCTCCCCAACACCCTAACTCCAACTCCTGGGCTCTCCTTTCCGGGTCCCTGGAGTCCCAGGGGTCCCAGGAACCTAACACTGACCCGATTTCCGTGTACCACTGTCCCCTCTTAGGAGGATCCCTGTCCCACCCTCCCATCTACCCTTAAAGGAGCAATGCCAGTACTCCGCCCCCTCAAAAAACACAGCGACCAGAGATTGCAAAATGTATATTAAACTTCATATGCACAGTGGGAAAGCCATCCTCACAGAGGCAAGAGTTCCAACCCAGGGACAACAGCAAGGAGCACCCCAGTCTCGTTTCACCCAAGTATCTAAGACAGCACTGGCCGGCTGCTGCCTCTGGACTGAGATTTTCTCCTCTTTGCTGGTGGGGGCCGGCTGGCACTAAGGGGGGACATGGTAGGAGTCTGGGGTCCCTCGGAGGTGCCATTCTGTTTCTGGAAGGCAGCTTTCTTGGAAGGCTTCTGTGGCACCTGCTGCTTTGCCTTCTCAGCCCCTTGGGGCTGAACACAGTTCTCAGGCTTCCAAGTGGCCAGAGGCTTGGAGAGGGACAGCCCGGAAGGCATCTCTGTATCCATGGCCTTGAGAGGAGCATTCTGCCTCCGGAAGGCAACTTTCTTGGAAGACCGCAGTTTAGGTGACTGTTGCTTTAGCTTCCCCGTCACCTTGGGTTTCCTGGTCACTACGGCCTTTTCAGCTGGCTGCCTGTTACCCTGGGGCTTGGAGGAGGCTTGGACCTTTGGGACAGAAGGTCCAGTGGACAATTCAGAGTCTGCCCCTTTGGGGATACCATTCTGCTTCTGGAAGGAGGTCTTCTTGGGACGTTGCCGTTTCTGCAAGTGCCACTCTGCTTTCACAGCCCCTTTGGCCTTCTTGGCAGGCTTGCTGCCGCTCTCAGGCTTGGGGGTCACCTGGCCTTTCAGGTCAGGCACATCTGGGTTTGTAGGGGCGGATGTTGCAGAATTTCCTGGGGCTAAAATTAAACAGATTATGTGAGAAAAAGGACCTCGTCATTGGGTCTTGATCATTAGTGGCATTAAAATAAGGCAACTGCCTGGGTACTCTTTCTTGGCCAAGTGTTCCACATAACTGAAAGAGTACCTTAGAGTAGACTACCTGGTTTCACATTACTTAGTATCACCTGGCTTCACTCAAGTCCTATTTGAACCCTGCATTAAAGAGAAGGGTTCACTACCCATCCTTGGGCCAAAAAGTTTTAGAGGAAGCTGTGCCCCACTGAGGACAGAAGATAGCAAGACATTCTAACACACAACAACTAGAAACAAGCTATCCTATATAATAAAAAGGCAATATGCAAGTTGACCCTAACGGCGGAATGACTGGAAACGACCGGTCGCTATGACGTGCACTGACCACCAGGGGGCAGACACTCAATGCAGGAGCTGCCCCCTGGTGGTCAGTGCGCTCCCACACGTAGAGCTCCGCTCAGCCACAAGCTGGGCTGACAGTTGCAACGTTAAGGATGTAAGCCTGCAGGTGGATATCCCTCAAGGGGTCCCAGACTGCGAGAGAGTGCAGGCCAGGCTGAGGGACCCCCACGAGGGCATGAATTTTTGTGTACTGCACCTCTAGTTAAGACATAAATGAGTACTGACATTTAAATACACACTTTTAAAGTTACAACAAACTTTAACTATTTCTTAAGGTTTTTGTTAACATTCAGATGTGACTTTTATAAGGGTCGCTACTGATAAAGAAAAAACCCAACTCAATAAACCATGCAGTTTGTATCCAGAGACGCTCACTTCTCCCTCTTCCAACTAAACCCAGGTTATATCCCAGCATGCAGAGCTCAGCAAACCCCACGCTTCCCCTTGAGATCCAGGACAGACGCCTCAGATGGCTGAGAAAACAATCTGTAATTAGTGTGATGGGCTCAGAGAACGGACAGTTCTGAGGAGTTTTATTGCCAACCCAGTGCTGACAATGCTGGACCAGCAGAGGTCCATTACCAGTAAGGTGACCCTGGGCCAAGAAGGAAGAGAAACCACAACCCGCATTGGGAACATACTTAGTGATGAGCAAGTGGAACCACTTGGTAGATAAAGGAACAGGCTGGCATCCACAGGAGCACTCTATAACATGCTCCAATGGGGTCCTGGCCCAGGACCAAGCCTAGCTGGATGAAAGGGGTCTCTTATCCGAGCAGGCTAAGGCTGTGGTAAGGATGGCAGAAATCCTCCCTTTCCCACACTCACACTATAATGAGTCTTGAAAGGCAGAAAGAGCAAAGGCAGTGATGATGGGTAGAGAGATCACTTACCTGTTTGGGACTGGGGAATAGAATTGGAGAATTTCTTGAACTTGGCAATAAAGAAACCATCCATATTGTGGGTGTGGGGGTAGAAGCGGCGGGTGGAACGCAGAGTGGGGTGAAAGCGCCTTTCTCGAAAGCGGGTAAAGCCCTCCTGGCCAAAGTCTAGACCTGTGGGCACCAGCCGCACATTCCTCTTTTTCAGGGCATAGTCTACCACCCACTCGTTCTCTTCCACCTGGATATGTGGGGGAGACAAAGATGGAAGGAAGAGCAGAGCTGAGCCGAAGGGAGCTAAGGGGCAGTCTTCCAGCCCTCCCCTCCTGCACTGCCATGCAGAGCCCTCACCATGATGGAACAGGTGCAGTAGACGAGGTAGCCTCCTGTCTTGGAAGTGGCATTGACAGAGTCAATAGCACTCAGGAGCAACTCCTTCTGAAGGTGAGCACAGCGCAGGATGTCCTTCTCATCCTGCACCAGGGCGGAGACCCAAGAGTGTCAGAATTTCAAAAGGCAGCCTCAGGAAGAGAGGTGAGCTGCTGGGTGCCCCGGGTGCCCTTCCACCTCCCACTCCTGCTCTGCAAGGCCCAGCCGAGACCTCTCAGCTATTCCCACCCCCACCCCAGCTCCTCACCTTGTTAGTCTTCACAGCTGGGTCCTTGGAGATGACCCCAGTGCCACTGCAGGGAGCATCCAGCAGTACTCGGTCAAAGCCCCCCACCACCTGGAGAAAAAGGGTAGGTTAATCACCGTTTTTAGTCACCTATACTGCACCATTTATTTCCTAGAGGCAAGTCTAAATATTCTGATGTCAGGAAGGGGGCAGGTGAACTGGAAGACACCCCAGGAGAGATGCACAGAAGGGAGTCCCACCTTGGGGAACTGACGCCCATCATAGTGGCTGATAATGGTGTTGGTGACTCCCAACCGGTGCAGGTTACCCACAACACTCTTGAGCCGCTCCGCATTGGCATCATTGGCAAGGATCACACCTGTGTTCTTCATCAGCTGGGCTGGGGGGAGGGAGGTTAAGTGCTCAGCAGCCAGCTCCTCTGCCCCCACACTTGCTAGCACCTCCAGCCCAGGAATCCACAGGTAAAGTCTCAGCACCTCAAGGGAAACTTCACCCCAATCAGCCCTGCTCCCCACTGCCTGCTGCATGGGTCTCCCCAGTCTGCACTGACCCCTGGTGATGAGCACACTCATCAACATGGGTTTTTCCATCATTACTGAACATCTCTCTGGTCCCACAGACTAAGTTACTTCTTTTAAGCGTTAACAGCTTAGTAAGAAATGGTTATGACTAATTACTATGCCAAGTATCTCTATATGTATATCTCAACCCTTATCACCCAGGCCTAATATAAAAGCCAGCCCAAGCACAGTTACCACCCCATTTTACAGGTGACAGAAGAAAGTCAAAGGCTTGCCCGAGGTGCTAAGTGTCGCCCACAGGGCTGGAACTCAGGCCGGATCCAGAGCCTGTACTCCTCACCACCCTGCTAGCTGTCTGTGCAGTTTTCTGAGAACTAGCAAGTCTCCAACCCCATCTACTTTCAAAAGCAGAGAACCAGACAAATCCTACTCCCGCCTGCATTTCTCGTACCTATGTAGCTGGTCTTTCCTCCAGGGGCACAACACATGTCCAGGATCCGCTCGTGTTCCTGGGGTGCCAAGGCCATGACAGGTAACATGCTGGAGGCCCCCTGTAGCATGTAGTGCCCAGCCAGGTACTCGGGAGTAGCACCTGCAGAGGAGGACCTGTGTGTGACATGCTGGGAGAAGGGCAGAGGCAGAAGGGCTACTGGTCAGGGAATACTCACCAATGGGCACTGAGGAATCATATACCACAAGTCCGGTCTTTGACCACTTGCCCAGGGGATCCAGGTTAACCCCACGATTGATTAGCGCCTGAAGGTAAAAAGAATGAAAATTTTTAATATATATTTTTTATTAATTTTTTTTTTACAGAGAGGAAGGGAGAGGGATAGAGAGTTAGAAACATCAATGAGAGACAAACATCAATCAGCTGCCTCCTGCACACCTCCTACTGGGGATGTGCCCGCAACCAGGGTACATGCCCTTGACCGGAATCAAACCTGGGACCCTTCAGTCTGCAGGCCGACGCTCTATCCACTGAGCAAACAGGTTAGGGCAAGAATGAAAATTTTTAAAGCCTTATAGGTTACCATGTCCAGAAAACAGATGGAGATATGAAAACCTGGTCCTATCAGGAAGTCTGTGACAACTCTTAGACCTCTTAGAAAATAATCCCCACACTCTCTGAAAGCAATTGATCCTCTCACATCCCACCCCACCCCATCCTCTGGTGTCCTTTTCCTTAGCCTGAGGCTCTAATTCAAGGTCTGAACTCCATCCCACTGAAGCAGACTGGCAGCTCCTGCTATTTCCTGGAAGGGGACTCCAATTTTCCAAGAGGCTTAGCCCTTTAACATACCAGAATTTAATCCTACTGGTCAGAGCACATTAAAGATAATTATCAGGTTATCTTCGTACCAGGAAATATAACACACACAGGTGAACTGAACTTTAGAACAGGGGTCTTTAACCGGGGGTCCTTGAACCCTTGGAAACAATGAGCCTAAAACATGGTTTATGCCCATGCGCTCTCTTTCTGGGGGCAGGAATCAGTTTCACCAGCTTCTCAATGATCTAAAAGGCAGACAAGTCCCTCCCGTTTCTGAGGCAGCACTTTCATCCTTATTTAGGTGTCTCAACTGTCACAGGGAGCAGAGGCTAAAGGGCAAGTTTTCCACTTCACAGAGGTCCTAGGTCCCCAGCCAGTCAGATAGACCAGCATGGCACCAGGCCTATATAGGTTTGCCTCCTGTGATCATGGTTATACCAACAACCAATACCAGTCAGGGTGGGACAGGGAGTCTCTGTGGTTAACAGAAGTCAGTACCTCGGAGAGAAAAGCAAACCTCAAAACCCACCCCTCACCTGAGCAAGGTCTCGGCGCCGGGTTTTCAAGGTGTTGGTCCTGAGGGTGATGGGCCGAGGCACCTCATTAGCTTCTAAGAACTCCACCAGCTGGTAAAGCAAGATGGTAAGGAGCAAGTCAGGCTGGCCAAGCTCAGCCAGAATTGAACAAGGGAGCTGACCGCCTTCCTTACTCAGGGTGAGAAGAGAGGTGAGAACAGGAAAGCAGAAGGAGCATTAGATTGGCAATTCGGTACCTCAGACAGAGGGAAGAGGTCCATGAGCTTGCCAAGCAGAAAGTCTCCATAGGAGTAATAAGTGGCCAGATCCCGCTGAAGCCGGTGCAGATACTCAGCTCGAGACCGGCCTTCCTCCCGCTGAGTCCCAAAGTCACGCAGCACTCCCACTATGTCCTGGATGCGCTTGTGAATTCGTTGCAAGTCTGGAGCCTGGGCACGTGGGCCTGTTAAGAAACTGTTCCATAATGGCCCAGGGCCTGGAAATCCCCTCCAGCAAGTACCTCCCCCCACCCCTCACCCTTCACTGGAAGGATATCCTGCTCCATCTCCCCAGCAGGGGGCAGCACAAAAGGCTCCTCTTCATCCAGGTTGATCTGCAGGCCCCCATCTGTCTCTTCCTTTTGGGGGCCTGACTCAGGGGACACTTCCTCCTCTTCCTCCTCTTCCTCAGTTTCCTCCTCACTCCACTGGCCCCTAGAAACAGGCCCAGGAACAAAGTGACTCACAGATCAAAACAGACACCACTTCCTTCCTCACCTTTTCCTTCATCCCAGCCGCTAACTATTCTCCCTCCTAAAGAGTTTCCAAAACTCACCCAGCAACAGCTTCCTGGGCCTTCTTTCAATGGGCAGCAACTGAAAGAGGAGAGGCTGGTGATGCAGAGCTTGCCCTCCCACCAATCCACGAGCACTTTGTATCTCTGTATTTTATTTTTTCCTAAATACAAATGTAACACTTGCTCTCAGAAGGAAACAGACCCTAAGGACATGAATTTAACATCGGCACAATACTGACAACTGTTGAAACTAAAGGATGGATTCAAAGGGTTCCTTATACTGTCCTATCTACTTTTGCATTTCCCTTTCCATTAAGAAGTTAAAACATGAATACACACCATATGTGTACAGGGAGGACAAAAACTGTCCTTAGGCATCTTTTCTGCCATATTTTCTTCCAGACTTCTTCTTCTTTTTTTTTTTTTTTTAAGAGAAGTTTTATAAGAGTTATTTGAGCCAAAATTGACAACAATTGCTGGGAAGCAAGATTTCAAATGCTCCCTATTCTACTTTTCCTACAGTTAAAATCATGATATGTTTCCATATTTGTTTCCTGCTTTTTCTCACTCACAGAGAAAAGGCACATTCGGACACGATGGCCAAGTGTTACTTAGCATATGTCTATTGGGTAGTTTGAAATTTTTCAGAGCTTTTCACATTAGAGTGCATGTGGTGCCTCAAAATCTCATAATAGGAGCTCTATAGAGAGATGGGGATTGTGGGTGAGGGGTGCAAATTAGAACTTGCTTTTTCTTTTTCAATTGGTTTTCAGGGGCTTTTTAAAAATTCTATATAACTCTATATTACTTAAAATTCTCTAATAACACACCCATATACTAATTGTAGAATACATAAATTTCTTACACCTCTGTAAATAAATCTGTCCACATTTGGATCATTTCCTAAATGGAATTACTAGGTAAAGAAGGTTTCTAGCCCTGGCTGGCATAGCTCAGTTGGTTGGGTATTGTCCCGTGCACAGAGAGGTTGCCAGTTCGATTCCTGGTCAGAGCATGTGCCCGGGGTTGTGAGTTCATGAAGCAGCCAACTGATGTTTCGCTCTCACATCTTTCTCTCTCTCAAAACCAATAAAAAATATTTTAAAAAAGAAGAAAAAGTTTCTAATGTTCTCAGCAAATGCTTTATAAAAAATGTGTGTGCGCCCTAGCTGGTTTGGCTCAGTGGATAGAGCATCGGCCTGTGGACTGAAGGGTTCGCTTCCAGTCAAGGACACATGCCCGGGTTGCAGGCTCAATCTCCAATAGGGTGTGCAAGAGGCAAACGATCAATGATTCTCATCATTGGTGTTTCTAGCTCTCTCTCCCTCTCTTTTCCTCTCTGAAATCAATAAAATCAATATATTAAAATGAACTTATATTTAAAAAAAGTGTGCATTTTTATTTCCATCAGTGGGGTACCAAGTGTCCACCCTACCACATCCTCATCAGCACTGAGCATTCTCATGCTCTATCAAATAGCTCACTTAAACATGCATGTGCCCTGGAATGATGTAAGGTGATAGGAAAACAGTGTTAAACCACTAAAATCCCTTTTTGCTACTAAGGGTTATCCCTGTCTCAAGGATCTGGAAAGACTAAAATGCAAGGATCACTTCCTGAACAACCAGAGAAATAAACTCACCTCCTCTTCATCTTCGTCCTCTGAGTGGGAGTCTGTTCCATAGTCATCTATCATATCAGCATCACTGTCCTCAGAGCCCCAGAGGTCTCCCTGGTTTACCACACCATCCTCTTCAGAGTCTTCCTCTTCCTCTTCTTCGTCACTGCTATGGGCTGGTGCTGGGCGCTTCTTGCCTCGAGCAGTGTTAAGTAAGGACTGGGCTCCCTTCTTACCAGGTGTCTGGAGAGCTCCTACAGAGATCCCTAAGGGTTTGAAGAAACCTAAACTAATGGTAGCCACACACGGCCTGTACTTTCCACCCCCAGGAATATCCTCTGACTGCTCCTTTCACTCCAGAAATGATCAGCAAGCCCTTCCCTTCCCAGGCCCACAGGACTCTTCAAGTAGCACCCAGCTCCTATTTTCACTCACCTTTTGGAAGCTTTCCAGGCAACGGTTTGACCCCAGGACGCTTATTCATCTCAGAGGTTTCAGCAGAGCCCAACCTCCTCTTGGCTGCCCTGAAAATATAGGAGAACATATAAGGACTGAGGAAATGGAATACACCTCCAGGTTCTGACATTTCCCATCACAAGGAAGTGTGACAGTCCCCAAACAACCCGTTCATCAGCATGATCACATGGGGTCACGTGGCTGAAGATGAACAGCATCAACTTAATCTCCGTAAGTCTGGACATCCACACTCACCTCTTTCGAGCACGACTAGACAGCCTTTTGGAATTTTCATCACCAGCTGTAAAAGAGAGAGAGAGAGAGAGAGAGAGAGAAAGAACAGGAAGTTACAGGGAAAATAAAAAACAGCAAGGACAGAGGGAAGAAGTGAGGAAAGAAGTGGGGAAAGAAAGTTAATGAAAGGGGGTCAATTCTAATTCACTCCACGGTGCTTTACCAGGAGCTGGGTAAGAAATATAAAGATGATCTCCATCTCATTGTTCAACAACCAAATCCAAACTGAGCCTCCCTCAGACTTCTGATTTCAATAAGGAGCACCATCACTGTTCTGATAACATAGATTTAAAAGCTAGAGCTTCTTCTGCTCTTTCCCTCATTCTCCATTTAACTGGTTATCAACCACTGCGGATTTTACCTTTACAACTGCTGTTTTTCATACATTCTCCAAGAAATAAAGGGTTTAAATCTCAACCCTTCATTTAGTAACTGTATGCAAGTAATTAACCTCTCAGCATCCACTTCCTTAACAGTACCTTTCTCACACGGCACCAAGAGAACGAAGCATAACAATGTGTCCAAAGGGCTCAGTATAACGCTCAGCTCAACTAACTGCATTTTGTCTCCAATGTGCAATGCCAACTACCTGTCTCCTCTGCCAGTCTTCCCCCCAGAGGACTACTCACATGTGAGAACCAGGTTTCTGTGTTCCCACCTCCATCCCCTCCACAACGCAGTTCACAGGGACTGGCCTGTCCCCTTCCCAACTTCCACTTGCTAGAACGTCACCCAGCCCGGCCAGTGGCTCAGTGGTTGAGTGTTGACCCATAAACCAGGAGGAGGCAGCTAATCAATGATTCTCTCTCATCAGTGATGCTTCTCTCTCCCTCTCCCTTCCTCTCTGAAATCAATAAAAAATATATTTAAAAAATTAATTAAATAGCTTCCATTCTTCAAAACCCAGGTTCTGAAAATCTAAGTTCTCTCACTGCGTGAGGACACCTCCTTCAGGGTTAAACCTCTCCTTGTTATGGGTACTCGTGTCCCCGTCGCTTCTTCCCTAAGCTCTAACGCTGATGGCGTGTTTCATTCATACTTATTCCTAGTAACTCATACAGACGAGATTCCGCTTCAACAGGAAGTGGAGGGAATGAAGGTTCTGAATGCACATGGAAAAGCGGCGCACAAGCTGGAGAATCGGAGGCATGCTTGAGCCTCACCTGCAGGCAAGAACCTGGCGAGCTCGGTCTCAGCGCCCTTCTGTTTTCGGGCCTTTCGGCCGGGCCCGCGCTTCTCCTTCTTGGTCGGGTCCAACTTGCGCCCCATGATACTGGGGAAAAGGAAAATGGGAGTGAGTCGCCGTGTCGGAAAGGGAACGGCGGCCCGCAGACTTAGCGTATCTGAGCGGGAAGGGGCATCATCTCTACCAGAACCTCGACTCGGCACCCCGACAGCCCCTCGAGGCCTGACCAAACTCCTCCCACGACGAGACCCGGACTCCACGCCATCTGCACCGCGTCCCCGTCCTCAAGCCCCAGCCCAGGTCAGTGCTCCCTTCCCCGACTTCCTCCGGAGTCCTCCGAAGCCTCGGCTCACCTGAAAGCGGGTCCGGGCCCGAGACGCGCCCTCGGCACCAGGGGCAGCAACCCACGTGCAGTCTGAGGCTGCCGCTCTGACGTCTCTCCCAGGAAATGCTCTACGCCGACGCGGGGCGCGCTCGCCGGGTGGCCCCGCCTCTTCCGGTCGGACGCGGAACCCGGAACGCACGGGCGCCCTGGGAACGCGCGCCTGGCGGTCCGCGCTGCAGCCGAGGGAAATTCGGGAGCGGACCGCCCTACTCAGACTCCCAGAGGGAAGGCAATGGCGGAGCCGTCCTCAGCTCCCCCGCCCTTCCCTCCTGGCCTGAGCGTGTGGCCTCACTGCAGGTTCCAGTTGGGAAAATGGTACCTGAAGGCCTCCGCCTCCCCCCACACCAAGGCGAAATAGCGGGGCCCTCCTCCTGGCACCTCCACCCTTCCTCGTCGAAGATCACGGCATCCCTGGCCCCTGCCTGCTCCCAACCCTGATTATGAACCCTCTTCCTGATCCCAGACGCCTGTTCAGCCCATCGGGTAGTTTCATGCTTAGGTTCACATCTGGGGATCGGGTGGACATCTTGCACCTTGACTTCCCACAAGTGAGCAAGGAAAAGCTATTTCAGCCTCCCTTCTTACAAATACGAAGCTAGTGCTGGCAGCTGTTAAACACTGTCCCAAGCACGTTCCTGGATTTATCGTCCCGACTTTCTGATTACTTCATACATGGGAAACCTAAGCCCATGAAATGGCAGGTGAGCCCAGGTGGTTGGGAGCCTCTCATCTTCCAGGGGAGGAGCCGTCGCCCTTGGTCTGCAGCACAAGGGTACATGCACGCGGGCAGGAGCGCGTTTGCCAACTACCAGAACCTCGGGAAACCTTTCGTTTCCATTACACATTTCCCAGGGCTCTCCGGTCACACACATGCATCCCTGCTCCTACAACCCACACTGAACCAGCGCACTAAAATACAAGGAAACTTTTATTTTCAATTTTCATCAAGAAATTTTGCTGTGGTTTTTATGCTTTTGGTTCTTTTCCTTTTTTTTTTTTTTTTCCAAACTTTATTTCATTCTAGCCGTGGCTGGAGCCGCTGGGTTCCTGGTATTAAAAAGATGCCAACAGAGGTAGCTGTGTCTCACCCAGGGGCCCAGCCCATTCCAAATACCCCAAAAAAGGAGAAAAGAAAACACAAAATAAATCAACAAAATAAAACCAAAAGAACAAAGAAATTCAGATCGTTTTCTTCAAGCCTGGCAGGAACCCACAACAGTTTGTGTGTAACAGACGTTACAGTGGGGAAAGCCAGGGCCCAGAAGAAGGCCAGCCAGCCCGCCAGCTCCCTGCAGATGGCGCCGGCGCTACTGCTGCATCCTCTCCAGCAGGAAGGGCACCACTGCCCTCACTCCCTCCCCTCCCCCAGTGGACTGGGGGCTGTTCCTTTACAACATGGAAGATGGGCAGAAGGAAGGAGAGGGTCTCTCAGGCCCCCAAGGAAGAAGCTGGGCAAGGGAAAGTGAGGAAGGTCATTGCTCAGCGGTGAAGGTGGTTATCGTCAGTCTGGATCTTCACTGCTGCTGGGCAACCTATAGCAAGAGAGAGACATGGAAGTCAGAATTCCAAACCGGTATTCACCAGATCCCCAGAGAACTCCCTGGTAGGAAGGCCCCACCTGCCCAGTTAGGGACAGAGAGTGAAAGTTACAACTTCCAGAATGGCTCTGCTGGGACAGAGACCATGAGAAAAGGTCCTGCCCTGGCTGATTTGGCTCAGTGGATAGAGCATCGGCCTGTGGACTGAAGGGTCCCAGGTCCGAATCCAATCAAGGGCACATGCAGGGGTTGCAGGTTCGGTCCCCAGTGGGGGGCATGCAGGAGGCAGCCGATCAATGATTTTCATCATTGATGTCTCTCTCTCTCCCCTCTCCTTTCCTCTCTGAAATCAGTAAAAGTATATTTTTTTAAAAAAAGAAAAGAAAATGGTCCTACCTGCTGTGGAGTAGGTTCAGGTGCTCGGTTTGCCAGGCGGCTGAGAATGTTACGCTCTGACATCTGTAGCCTCACCGCAACTGGGGGAATCCGGGCAATAGTAGCTGGGAGTCGAGTCACATCAGCTTTCATGTCACTCAGCAGTTCTTCTAGCTGTTTCAGAACTGCAAGGGGGAAAAGGTGGTGAGCCGAGGTGAAGACCCAGCTCCTGCTTACCATAGTGGACCTGTGTCTGCCCATGACTTCTCAGTGACCGAGCGACTGATGTGCTGGAGTGCTGTCCTTTATCAGTCTCCCGACCTGGCCTCCACCACGCTCAAATTCCTACTCCTCATATTCCAGTTCCAACTGTCCATGATGCTATGCCTTTTTTAAATGTTTATTTAATTACAGGTAACTTTCAATATTATTTTACGTTAGTTTCAGGTGTACAGCATAGTGGCTTGATGATCATGTACTTTCAAAACTGATACCCCTGACAAGTCTGGTACCATCTGACACCATACCTGTCATGACAGCATTACTGACAATATTCCTTATGCTGTGCTCCACATCCCATGGTTATTTTGTATCTATGCCTCTTAAAGTCACCTAACCCTCTCTGCCCTTTGCTCCCTATTGTCTCTACTTCCTCTACTTCTTGAGAAGCTTATTCCTATTGTTTCCTTTTCTCACTATCTTTCCTCTCCACCTTTTGGAGCTGTCTCCTCCTTTATTTATGCCTTCTTTTCATCATTTCACCTTCCACCTCCCTCACAATGTTTTAACTTTCATTAGAAAGGGGTCTAAATTTGTTGGGATCTTAAATCACCTTACGTTACCTCTTAAGTATCCCAGATGACATTATATTATTCTGCTTTGCTTCCCACCTCCAAGAACTTGAATATATTAAAAGAGGCAAAGAACTACTATCCTTAATTGCCTCTAAGACAGTGGTTCTCAACCTTCTGGCCCTTTAAATACAGTTCCTCATGTTGTGACCCAACCATAAAATTATTTTCGTTGCTACTTCATAACTGTAATGTTGCTACTGTTATGAATTGTAATGTAAATATCTGATATGCAGGATGGTCTTAGGCGACCCCTGTGAAAGGGTCATTCAACCACCAAAGGGGTCACGACACACAGGTTGAGAACCGCTGCTCTAAGATAATAGCTTCCCAAGGAGGAAGGCACAGATCCCCAGCACATCTTAAGCTCCCAGACAAAAGGACCCTGAAAAAGGTTTTGGAAACAAGAAATGTGTATTGGGGGGGAGGGGAGGAGGGGAGGGGGCAAGGAGGAAGGACTCTGAGTCAGCAGGAGGCAGGAGAGTCACTGGCTACCTTTGTGCAGGACCGCATTGGCAGGCTTGTTTCCTGCCATTGACTCCTTGGACAAGTGTTGATGACTCTCTGCCAAACACTCCACCTCAGCAAAGCGGGTATTTAGGGCCATGGAAGGGTGAGAAGGGTCCTCTGACATGTTCAGGTAAGCTGCCCGCCGAAGCTGTTCCTCAATGACCAGGGCTTGTTCTAGAAGCTGGACAAGGGATAGAGAGGAGATGGGACTTAGAGTGATACTCACTTTGCTTATTTCTTTTGTTTTGGTTAATCCTCACCCGAGAATATTTTTTTCCATTGATTTTTAGAGAAAGTAGAAGGAAGGGGGAGAGACAGAGAGGAAACATCAATGTGAGAGAGACACATCAATTGGTTGCCTCCTGCACGCACCCTGACCAGGACCGGGAATCAAGCCTGCAACAAAGGTATGTGCCCTTGACTGAATCAAACCCACAACCATTCAGTCCGTGGGCCAACGCTCTAACCACCGATCCAAACTGGCTAGGGCTACTGCTTATTTCTGATGGTCTCAGAATGCATAAAAAATTAGAATCACAGCCCTAACCGGTTTGGCTCAGTGGATAGAGCGTTGGCCTGCGGACTGAAAGGTCCCAGGTTCGATTCCAGTCAAGGGCATGTACCTTGGTTGCGGAAACATCCCCAGTAGGAGGTGTGCAGGAGGCAGCTAATCGATGTTTCTAACTCTCTATCCATACTCTCCCTTCCTCTCTGAAAAAAATCAATAAAATTAAAAAAAAAAATTAGAATCACAAATAATCCTACCTCCTAGAGATACTGTTAACATTCTGAGATTTTTCTTTCCATAGATATTTTTTACATAATTGAAACTATATATACATATCTATATTATGTTTCACTAAAAGTTACATAGTAAGCATCTTCCTTTGTTCTTTGCTGCACTTCATAAAAAACGATTCTTAATGGTTTGCATGGTAGTCCATCCCATGGGTATATCTACATCGTATCATTTAAGTTGTTTTACTCTTTAAAATTATTTTTGGCTCTGGCCAGTGTAGCTCCGTTGTTTGGGCGTTGTCCTGTGCACCAAAAGGTTGCAGGTTTGAAAACCAGTCAGGGCACATGTCCAGGTTGCAGGCTTGATCCCCCATAGGACCCCTGCAGGAGGCAGCTAATCAATGTCTTGCTCTCACATCGATGTTTCTCTCTCCCTCTCCCTTCCTCTTAAAAAAAAAAAAATTCTCGAAACTTTTTGTTGCTTCCTTTGTCTCATATTTCACTTCCATTCCTTCCCTTCACCAATAGGTAACCCTTCTAATATACTTACTGTGTGTCTTTTGGTGGGTGTTCTTGAAGTTTGTGCACATTTCTAGTTTACAGAATGTTCTGTATATATAAAATGCTTTCCTTTCCCCACTACGTATCTTCTTAAAGTGTCCATTTATGTTGTTATATCATATGCATTTGGTTGCTTCTAGCTGTTGCTTAGTGCTCCATGATGTGAATCCATATTTTATCTATCCACACTCCCCATTTCGAACAGCTAGGTTGCTTCCAGGCCCCAACACCAAAAATCATACTGCAACATACTCTTGTAGCTGTTGCCTGATGGAGCTGTGTAAAAGGGTCTTTGAAACATATTTCAAGAGACAGAATATTGATTCAGAAGTTATGAGACTTAATTTACTCACACATCCACTGGTAGAGAGAATGCATTAGGGGACAGGAAAAAGGACAGTATGAGGATAATGCGCTGCTGTTTCTTCCACAAGATCTGGCTCCAGCAGGGCCTACTAATTTACCTCCAAACAGACCAAGCATCCACTTTCAAGCCATATACCCTGTCTTCTTCACCAACTCCCTCTTCCTGCCCCAAACTGAGCTTTTTCTAGGATTAGCCCTTGATTTGCTGCTGTTCTTTCAAAGTATTCTCCCAACAGATCTCTTCCTCTCCTAGGTCAGCCAGAACCTATATGCAAATGATTTGATGCTTTTCAAACCTGCAGGTCAAGCACTGGTTGTTCTGATTCCACCCATGTATGATGATCACTCTTTGATCCCACTTGTTTATGGTGGCACAGGTAGTGGGAGGGTTATTTACTGGTGAGAAACACCAACTGACTTGCCTAAAACTGAACTTCCTCTTTTCTACAAACTGTTCCCTCTCCTCCTCACTTCCCTGATCTGCCAATGATAATTTAATTTTCTCAGTGACTCAGGCTCAAAGCTTCAGTTATTTCTGAAGGCTTATTCCTTTGTATCTCAAATCCAGTAAGTGAGGGGTCAGCAAACTATGGCCTGGGGGCCAAATTGGGCCTGTTGCCTATTTTTGTACGGCCCAAGAGCTAAGAAATTTTTTTTTTTAACATTTCTTAAATGGCTGAAAAGTGAAAATAGTTTGTGACATTTCATAAAAATTATATGAAGTTCAAATTTCAATGTTGACAAATGAAGTTTTATTGGAACACATTAATACTTACTTATGACACGTGGCTGCTTTCATGCTACCACAGAGTTGAGTATTTGCAACAAAGATCATATGTCCACCAAAGCCCAAAATATTTACTTTCTGGCCTTTTAATAGAAAAGGTTTACTGACCCCTACAATAAATCAGTAAATTCCATAAATTCTTTGGTGTTTTATTTCCTTTACTATATCCTTTTCATTTTCCACAACCAGCATCATAGCTCAGCCCTTACTACCTCACAATATGATAGTTCTATAATTTCATGAATGTTGTTTTCATTTCCCTTGGTCATATTAAAACTCTTCACAAACCTTTAATGGCTACCCATTAACTATAGGGTAAAGTCCATACTCTATCCAGTGCCAAAAAACCTACCTACTGACCTCTAGCCCTTACCTACAACCTCCCACAAGTGTTTTCTATAACCCAACTGGGCCAACTTGCTTCCAAACACCCTAAGCTCTGCTGCCTCTATGTCTTTGCTGGGCTTAATCCATTTTAGGTTAGCCTTCTGTTTCTATCCATTCCAATCTCCATATTACATTCATCAAAACTTAATTCCCCATGCAGCCATTTGTGAACTCTCTCCTCACTCCCCAAATTCCATCTGGAGAACTTTCTTATGGATTCAGCACTCTCCCTCGAAATACCCAGAATGGCATTCACTTAATCCCATATTTGCCTCTACTTTAAACTGTAAGCACCGTGAGAACAGGCACTATGCCTTATTTGTCTTTGTATCCCTGTGCCACTCATTGCTTGGTACATAATGTTTGAAGTTTTATTAGTATACATTTCTATTTTTATACATATATATAGATATATTTTGTAGAGGAAGGGAAAGGGAGACAGAAAAATCAATGATGAGAGAGAATCATTCATCAGCTGCCTCCTGCAAGCCCCCTACAGGGGATTGAGCCCGCAACCCGAGCATGTGCCCTTGACTGGATTCGGACCTGGGATCATTCATTCAGTCCGCAGGCTGAAGCTCTATCCACTGAGCCAATCAGCTAGGACTATTAGTGTACACTTCTTACTCCCCAAATTGTACTTGGGCTTAGAGTCACATGTCTTGTCTTCATGGTATCCCACTTTCCCATGTTGATGGTCTGCACACAAGTATTCTCAATACATGTTTGCTAATTTCCGAGTAAGGCTTCCTCCAGTCCTGGGCTTCTTAGCCCTAGTGATTCTGAAAATAGAGCTCTCTACTTTGCATCTTCTTTTAGTATCCACTCCTCCCCTTATCCACACAGGTACTCTCAGACCCAGAATAAAGTACTACCAGCCCACTGACAGCCCTGCCTCCTTGGAGAGCCAACTCAATCCACCTCTTTATCTTTCCTGAACACTCCAACCTACAGTGTTCCCCAACACACCCACTATACTAGAGTCTGCGTCATTCATTAGACAATCTTCAGCCCTTGAACAGCTGGTTAATTTTCAAGTCTGTATGTCTTGATCTTTAACACTGAAGATACTTAGAAACAAAGCCTTTCACAGAATACAAAAGTTCAGCACACACTGCCTAACCGGTTTGGCTCAGTGGATACAGCGTCGGCCTGCGGACTGAAGGGTCCGGGTTCCATACCGGTCAAGGGCATGTACCTTGGTTGTGGGCACATCCCCAGTGGGGGATGTGCAGGAGGCAGCTGATATGAGATGTTTCTCTCTCATTGATGTTTCTAACTATCCCTCTCCCTTCCTCTCTGTAAAAAAATCAGTAAAATATATATTTTTAAAAAAGTTCAGCACCCAGAACACAATGAACAGTATGGTTGAATGAACAGACTCCCTCCTTTACAGTCCTTTCTGTACTTTAAGGACTGTGACTTCAACATGGTATTCCTCCCCATCCTGCTCACCTTAAACCTTCGTGCTAGAAATTTATTCTTGATCTCTAAGAAATTGCCACGGTTCATTTCACCCTTGAAAGGCTCATTGAGGATGGCATAACGTGGGTCATTCTGGATGTCCTGCCACCGGGCATAGCCATGACTGTTGGAAAATTGCTCAGGAAAAACAAAACAAGGAAAGTAAGAACCTCAGTCTATGGAATCTTCAGAACCGTCACTAAGAATCACAACCCTGACTCAGGAAAAGGATACTTTATGATGCCAGCCAGCAACCAGTAGTCATGCCGTCGATGCCAGATCTCGTAAGTCTTCTTGGTGACTGTGGCTGCACGCTCTTCATTCTGCCAAAGGGAGTGCAACTCTAAAGAGGAATTTAGGGAAGGTTGAGGAGAAAAAGAAAGGCACACAACTGTGAGAATTCAAAATACTATTTATTCCTGTCCCCCTGATACCATTTTAATACTATGCCTGTGACTTTCTAACACGGAACCCAGAGGAGAATACAATCAGCCTAGCTTTCCTCATCTACTAGAGGTTAAATCACTGTACCCTGGTTTCTAACAACCGTAATTTCATATCAGATCCCTCTAACCTCAGTGGGTCCCTCATTTTCATACCAGTAAAACCACCATCTGCAATGTTGAACATGAATCGCTGTTTAATGTTTTTTTTTTGCTTCTCATCAGTCAGGTCCTTGGGAGTCTCTCCATTCTGAAGCATCACCTCTTTTTTCTCTTCTTCTTCTTTCTTCTCTTCTACAGGATATGTAGGAGAAAAATGTTAGCTCCAGACACTGTGGCCCTTATCCATAGCACTATGTGCTACAAGATATCATCCATCTCCACCCTTTTTCCACACAGGTGTTTCTCAAACCCAGAAAAGGCACTGCTAGCCCAATGACAACTAAATATGGGGCCAAATGGAGCAGTCACTTGGGATAATGGATATATGGGTGTGGATAGGAAGGCCGGAGGTTGGAAGGGGGTGTCCCAGAGATAAAGTCCTTGCTTCTAGTTTTAGAGTCCTCCCAAACTACAATAGGCTTCTTCAAACACCAACCTTTGTCCTCCACCACAATGGGAGTCAGATCTATTGCTGACTTCTCCTCCACTTTCTCCACATCAGCAACACCTGGAAGGAACAGATGGCATTGAAAATGTATCTAAGGAAGAAGGTTCTCCACTGTTCCACACTATATCCAACTGGAACAATCCTAATCCGAAATCTTTATGATTAAAATCTTAAAAGATGTCATAGTGGGGTATGGGATTCTTCAGTGTGTTACTTCCTCCTGACATCCTACAGCCTGGCTGCAAGTTCATGAGCAACTTATTTACACAGGGATCTGTAGTGCTTGAAAATGTGGATACCTTTGGATTCTGTCTCCATGGGTTCCTCTGTCCTCTCCTTCACCTCTGCCTTTTCTACTTTCTCCTCTCCCTCAGGAGGTTCAACAAGGACCTTTTCATCCTCCAAGGCAGGGGCAGGGGGCTGTGGACACTGAAAGGAAAAAAGACAGAAGATGAAGCAGACAGGCCAGCAATGAAAAGGAGGAGTGGGTTTATCCATCTGCTTTCCATACGGCATCCAGTTACAACCATCTCTTACCTCAACAGCGGCCTCGGGTGCTGCAGATTTAACCTCCTTTTCTCCTTCTGTACTCTCTTCTTCTTTGAGGCTGTTTTCCTCTATTTTTACCCCATCCTCTGCAACCAATAGAAGACAACTTATTAGGAAGAAGGTCCTAGATCAGAGAGAATGCCATATCTTCTCAGTCTGGCTTATCTTAAATTGTCCTCTCGTGCCTTTAAGAGCCAGCCCTATACTCAGGACGGCCCTCCTAAAGTGAGAGGGAGGTTGCTGTGTGTCCTGCCAGACTCCCCTGTTTTACTGAGCACAGGTGAGCAGAGAAACCATAGGCCAGGACAAGAACAGAGAAACAGAAATGACAGTACAGGCAGACTTACCAGCCGGTGGGGCAGGTGCAGGAGTATTGGGTTGTGTGTCCCCTGGAGTAGAGGGTGTAGGTGTCTTTGGGGAAGGTGACCCTGGCTGGGACATTTTCTTGTTTTCCTCTACTTCAGCGAGTTCAGGCATACTCCAGCGCCCATTAACATGCTCAAACTCCTGAACCTGCAGCAACAGGACAAGATGTTGAAGATCCAATTCCAGCTCTAGGTTCCTTTCCTATGGCCCTCCAGTTTCCCCTAGAAACCCTGAAAATGGAGAGAAGTTCAGGGCTCACCTTCTTGCGAATCAAGGACATGACACCAATCCTAGTAAGAACATGCTGGCGAGACAGGCCTTCTCGGGGGACACCATCAGCAAAGGTCTCAGCCCCATCTGCTCCTGGCTCACATAAATGCCGCATAAAAAGAGAGACGTAAGCCCTGTAGTGAAGAAATAGAGAAATGAGTTAAACAGCGATTATGCCAGCTCCTAGACCAGGTTTTTCCCCACCACCAATTAGGTACTGGCCCAGACAACTATGGCTTCATCCTGAGGTAAAACCCATCATCACTGTGAAGGCTGGTCTCCAAACTCCATGCCATGTCCCAGATAGGAACACAACCTTATGACTAAGAGCTTCGCCTGCCAACTTCATCAGAGAAAACAGCCCATTTCCCTGCACAGCTGGACTAGTGCCATAGAAGCCCTTGCACTAAGTCAATCCTATTCCATCTCTCAACTTACTTGAACTCTTTCTCCGATTTGCCTCGCAGATCTCTCACAAGCCACTGAGTGGTAAAAGCATCCTGAGGTGGCATCCCATATCGCATAATTGCATTAAGAAAGGCTTTTCGCTGCCGAGCATTAAAACCAAGTACCTAGGGGGAGAAGGAACCTAGGTGAGAGGGAGCAGGTCTTACTCCACCAAAGACCCAATATCAGCACTAACCCACCCCTCCCTAGAATCATACAGCACTTACTTCAATATTCCCACCCACACGGGCCAACAGAGGAGGCAATGGCTTATCTTTATCATTCCGCAGGCCCTTGCGACTGGGCCTGCGGGGAGCTGCAAGAAGAAAAGAATGCATGAGTGATACTGGTAGGATATTAGACAAAGCAATATTTAAACAACAAGAAGAGAAGCATAGCCCTCACCTTCTGAACGTTCATCAAAGTCTTCATCACCTTCCTCTGAGGCCACTGAATAATCGGACTGGTTGTCGGACTGGTCGTCCTGCCAATCTGGAGGGAGAGAGGGCAGATGAGCGGGGCCCACTGCTCTAGTGGAACGGCCCATGGGTGGGGGGCGGGGCCGGCCACACACACCTCGGTCCTCCTGCGAGCCATCATTGTAGTTGACCTGTTTACGGATTCTTTTTCCTTTGCCCAGATTTCGGGCCAAATCTTCTTGCTGCTGCTCATAATGGTGCCGCAGCAATTTTTCCCAGTAGTCAGGATCCACACTTTCTTCCTGTTTTATGATTTCCCGTTCTACCTCCTCTTCCTCCTGGGACAGAGGGAGGGCCAGGACTCAGGGGTGCTGAAGTCAGCACCACCAGCTACCCCTGGTCCTCACAGTTCCCATTCTGCTAGCTCCTTTTCATGACTGGACTCTGAAATACTTGGTGTGCCTGCTTGAACCTAAGAACTTAAAAGAAATTGAAGTGACACAACATGGCTCCTCATAATTATGTGTAGATCAGCAGTCAACATAACCAAAGAAAAACATGGAATGGAGCCATTATCACAAGAGACGGGTGAAGAGATAGTGTTTCTTCTACTCTTTCAATTGACACATACACAGTTGGGAGACAGCAAATGTAGAAAAGAGAGGTGAGAGCCTTAGCAAGACAGAATGGAGCCACTTCTGAAATCCTGCAAAAGATTTTCATAACAGATAAAGTAGGACGGTTATACTCTTCTAAACTTCATACGTGTGCAAAAAACAGAATTACACATGTAGGGTACCCCAAAAAATTGTATGCACACTTTAATAGTTGACAACTCACTTAATTATACTCCTTTTCAGGTTTAACTGGTTTGAAATAATGGATAAAGCCAGACTAAACTTTAAACAAAGATGACTTATCAAAAAGTGCCATTAGACTTTTTTTATGGGGATACATAATAAAGTTTATGGTACAAAACTGGCACCAGTCATCAGCAGTGCCTGGACCAGAATAGAACGGTCATCAGTTTGAAAACAGACATTGAAAAAAATTATTCATTTCTGTAGATTCTTTTAAATTCAAAAGTGAACTATATGTTAATAAATACTGACTTTGGAATCATTCAAAGTGTGTATACATTTTTGGGGGGACAACCAGCATATATCATCTTATGTCTCTGTAACGGACATAAACATTTTTATGCTCCTCTGAAAGTCTTGTTACTTTTTCAGGATCACTAACTGATTCCAAATCCCTTATGTTAGAATTAGAGGCCCGGTGCACAAATTCAATGCATGGGTGGGGGTCCCTTGGCCTGGCCATTGATCATTGGGGCCAATCAGGGCCGTCTCACCCAGTCCCGATTGGCCTATCAGGGCCTGTCGGGGGGGAGAGAGGCGGGTAGGGACCACAGGAGGTTGGCAGGCCGCGAGAGGTTGGCTATGGGAGCGCACTGACCACCAGGAGGCAACTCCTGCGTTGAGCGTCTGCCTTCTGGTGGTCAGTGCACGTCATAGCAACTGGTTATTCGGTCATTCGGTCACTTAGGCTTTTATATGTATAGATGGCTCAGTGGTTGAGCATTGACCTATGAACCAGGAAGTCACAGTTCAATTCCTAGTCAGGGCAAATGCCCGGGTTGTGGGCTCGATCCCCAGTGGGGGGCATGCAGGAGGCAGCCAATCAATGATTCCGTTCCATCACCGATGTTTCTCTCTCCCTCTCCCTTCATCTTTGAAATCAATAAAAATTAGATTAAAAGTTTTAAAATGTTTTAAACTGCTGCTACTAGCATAATATTAAAAACAACCTAAATATCCATTATTATTAAATTAATAAATGTTGGGGTTTGGGGTGGATGAAGGGGGTCAAAGGTACAAACTTGAAATTATAAAATAAGTAAGTCAATGTACAGCATGGTGACTATAGTTAATGATACTATATTACATATTCAAAAGTTGCTGAGAAAATCAACCTTAAAAGTTCTCAGAAGAAAAAACATTTTGTAAGTATATCGCAATAGATATTAACCAGATTTATTGTGATCATTTCACAATACATACGCAAATTATCAAATTATGATGCTGCACACCTGAAACTAACATTATATGTCAATTATACCTCAATTTTTTAAAATAAATAAATTATGGTACTTTCAAACAAGAATATACTATGCAGGTGGAAAAAAGTTGGAGAGTTTTTTATGTGCTGATTTAGACTGTATCTTCAAGATTTAGTAAGTAGATAAAAGCAACGTAGAGAACATTATGTATAAGAAACTACTTTCACCATAGCCGATTTGGCTCAGTGGATAGAGCGTTGGCCTGACAAGTCCTGGGTTCAATTCCGGTCAATGGCACGTACCTCAGTTGCAGGCTCAATCCCCAGCCCCGGTCAGGGAGCGCATGCAGAGGAGGTAACCAATCCATGTGTCTCACATCAATGTTTCTCTCTCTGTCTCTCCCTCTCCATTCTACTCTCTAAAAATCAATTGGGGCCCTGACGGGTTTGGCTCAGTGGATGGAGCGTCGGCCTGCGAACTCAAGGGTCGCAGGTTCGATTCTGGTCAAGGGCATGTACCTTGGTTGCGGGCACATCCCCAGTTAGGGGGTGTGCAGGAGGCGGCTGATCGATGTTTCTCTCTCATCGATGTTTCTAACTCTCTATCCCTCTCCCTTCCTCTCTGTAAAAAATCAATAAAATATTTAAAAAAAAAATAAATAAAATAAAAATCAATTGGGAAAAAACAAACCACGAATAAACAAACAAACAAATAAATAAAATTCAATAGAAAGCGCAGCAGGCGTGGCTCAGTGGTTCAGTGTCCACTTATAAACCAGGAGGTCACGGTTCAATTCCTGGTCAGGGTACATGCCCAGGTTGCAGGCTTGATCCCCAGTAGGGGGTGTGCAGGAGGCAGCTGATCAGTGATTCTCTCTCATCATTAATGTTTCTATCTCTCTCTTCCTCTCTGAAATCAATAAAAATATTTAAAAAAATAAAAATCAATGGAAACATATTCTCGGGTGAGAATTAACGACAACAACAAAAACCAAACAGCTATTTTTGTGTTTAAAAGAAAAAGAGAAAATGTGCTTGTGTGTATGTTTATGTGTGTGCATGGATGAATACATATGTAACTTCTATGTACATATAACACTTTTAGAAAGACATATAGGAAACTGAGCTTGATCAGTGGTTGAGCATCAAACTTTAAAACAGGAGGTCATGGTTTGATTCTCAGTTAGGGCACATGCCTGGGTTGTGGGCTCGATCCCCAGTAGGGGATGTGCAGGAGGCAGCTGATTGATGCTCTCATTATTATTTTTTTTTTTAAATATATTTTATTGATTTTTTACAGAGAGGAAGGGAGAGAGATAGAGAGTCAGAAACATCGATGAGAGAGAAACATCGATCAGCCGCCTTCTGCACATCTCCTACTGGGGATGTGCCCGCAACCCAGGTACATGCCCTTGACCGGAATCGAACCTGGGACCTTTCAGTCCGCAGGCTGACGCTCTATCCACTGAGCCAAACCGGCTTTGGCAGATGCTCTCATTATTGATGTCTCTATCTCTCTCTCCTTCTCCCTTCCTCTCTGAAATCAATAAAAATATATTTAAAAAACAAAGAAAAAAAAAAAAAAGAAACTGGATACATAAGTTATCCCTAGGGAGGGAAGGAACTAGGTAGCCAGACAGGGATGAAAGAGATACTTTGTATCTTTTGAATCTTGAACCATGTGAATTACAATCTAATCTATAATAAAAAAGGGTAATACCCTTTGTAATACTTTAAGCAATAAAAAAAAAAAATTAATTTAAAAAATTAAAAAAAAAAAAGGGTAAATTGCTAATTAGACTGGACGTCATTCCACATGTCCTTCCTGATGAAGCCGGCCCGGAGGGAAGCAGCCCGGGTCCCAGGTGCTGGAAGGAAGCCAGTGCCAGCAGCTGGGAGAAGGAAGGCCTACTCTTGCACGAATTTTCGTGCATCAGGCCTTTAGTCAAAAAATAAAATTTTAAAATATTATAAAGTAAACAGCAGCTACAGCCACTAATAAGAAGGCCATTTGTATACCTGTGTAATCCTTAGCAGAGGTTATCAATGGGAGGGAGAGTACCACCCCTCCCTCCCAACCACGTGCTGTCCCAGTCAATCACTTCTATATGTAGTCCCTGCCCTGGCAGGAATGTGGAGCACCTTCAGGAGGGCCATTTTGATTGAATATGGTCTCGAGACCTATGTCAGACTTTTCAACCAGTTACACATAACTAAGGTTAGTAGCATCACCTTCAAGGACAAAGACAATAGATACATATCAGAAAAACACAGCAAGAGGAATAGTTCTGAGTTGAAAGTCTGAGAAAAAATGGTAAAGACCACAATAACCTATGTCAATTCAAAGAACCCTGAGCTGAGTGGTTTAAAGAGGACCAACGGAGAAGGCAAATTTTTTTTCATTTTACACCCAACATTATCATTTGGGAGAATAAACTATTACAGATGCCACACATTTTATTACTGTTTTAGTATTTTTCTGTTTTTTGTTTTCTTTTTTACCTAAAAAGACAAAGAAAAGGAAGGGAAGTAGAAAAAAGGGAAAGCAACAATTCTAATGTTTTAAAAGGCACAGAGAGACAGGCTGTCTAGGTATGTATCTATTTCCTGTCTTTTCTCCAAATAGACTTAAAAATAGCAAACAAGCCCTAGTCAGTTTGGCTCAATGGTTAGAGCATCAGCCAGCAGATGAAGGGTCCAAGGTTTGATTCCCAGTAAAGGGCACATACCTCCACATACCTAGGTTGAAGGTTCACCCTCACCCTTGCCCATGTGTGGAAGGCAACCAATCGATGTCTCTCACCTCTCTCTACCCCCCTCCCTCCCTCCCTCCCTCCTTCTCTCCCCCCCCTCTAAAAAAATAAAAAAGTCAATGGGAAAAATATTCTTAGGTCAGTGATGGCGAACCTTTTGAGCTCGGCGTGTCAGCATTTTGAAAAACCCTAACTTAACTCTGGTGCCGTGTCACATATAGAAATGTTTTGATATTTGCAACCATAGTCAGCATTTTGAAAAACCCTAACTTAACTCTGGTGCCGTGTCACATATAGAAATGTTTTGATATTTGCAACCATAGTAAAACAAAGACAATTTTGATATTTATTTTATATATTTAAATGCCATTTAACAAAGAAAAATCAACCAAAAAAATGAGTTCGCATGTCACCTCTGACACGCGTGTCATAGGTTTGCCATCACTGTCTTAGGTGAAGATAAAAAAAAAAAGCAAACAAAAGTGTTTTGAGTGTGAAAATTGTGGGTTTCCTGACAGCCACAGCAAAAATAAAAATGTGATTAATCATGTTATAGTATTGATTTTCAAAAGAAGACATATATTCAACTCATCAATGTACTAATTTGCCTACAGATATTTTCTTCCTGTTTCAAATACCATCCTGGTCTCAGTTCCAATTTTGGACCAACCACCAAGCAAAGCAATGCCTTGGACTCATACTCACCCCCATTTCTTCTTCCCGCACTACATACTGGGCCACTTTGAATGAGCTCAAATATTCATTCATGCCCTGCAATTCTGTGTCTTCAGTCTCATCCTGGTTACGGTCCAGCAGTCGTTCAATGGCCTTATCATCATAGTGGATAACACTGCTATCCTCTCCCTCTTTGTTGTCTCCTCCTATAAAGAATCAAGGGTCCATATGCCCAAAGTCAGCTTCAGCAGCTGCAGCAGAAAAAGCAAGTTCCACAGGCCCCTAGGTCCAAGTCCCAGGACGCTAAGTATCAAATATACACTTTAGAGAGGCCAAGCCCCAAACCAAAACAAGTTCCTGACTAGCTCACCTCCATCTGTGGCTTCATCCTTGAATAATTCCTCAGTGCCAAACTTGAGGATGTCATCAAGCTCCTGTTTGGACATGGATCCAGTCTTGGAGCCCAGCCCAGGCCGAACCACTAGATGCGTCAGCATCATCTTCTTTTTAGCCACCTGCGTGATACGCTCCTCCACTGACGCACGGGTCACAAACCGATAGATCATCACCTTCTTATTTTGCCCAATACGGTGAGCTCTGCTAAAGGCCTGGAGTAGGGCACAGAATGAAGCCAGAAATTGAAGTAACCACACTTTCCTGCTTTCACTCTCGCCGAGAGTTCCACATAAGCAAAATCTAGCACTAGGCAGGAGCTGCAGCTTGCCTTCATACAGAACTTCCTTTTACACCACTGCCCCCAGACACCACCCTCTATCATGTTACCCAAAATAGAACCACAGATAACCCAAAATTTCTGGCTTACAATTCAGTAAAAGACATAATAAGAATCTATTGTTTTCCCCTGAAAACAACTAATTCCAGATGGTGGAGCCCTCACTTCTGGTAAATTACTGTATACCAACGCTGCTACCTCTGCTCACCTGAATGTCATTATGAGGGTTCCAGTCAGAGTCATAGATAATGACTGTGTCAGCAGTGGCCAAATTTATTCCAAGGCCCCCAGCTCGAGTGGAAAGCAAGAAGCAGAACTGTTGAGCACCCGGTGCTAAGAAAAAAACCAAAAACATCATTAGAAGTGTCTACTGAATTCCAATTAACAAATGTAGAAGGAATTTCAGAAATATAAAACCTCATGAGCCAACACCACAGAAATAATCATTGTAAGCAAGGTTCACCGATGGATACTAAAATCAGCATGAAAGTTTAAGGAGAAACAGGATATCACCATAGTCTCAAACACCTCTCAAGATATTTATCAACTACAATGGGGAGAAAAGTAACTTTACAGTGGAGAAACTCAGCAGACACCACCTGAACAAGTGGTCAAAGTTACCATCACCAACAATGAGGCATTCACATCATGTCCTCCCCCTCAATATGACGCATTGAAAAGGACACAGCATCGCTTCTTAGTATTCTTGCCCAACATGCCTCATCTCAATCTAATCATGAAAAAACTGACATTCCACAAATAGCTGACCAGTAATCATCAAAAGTATCAATGTCATGAAAGAAAAGGAAAGAATGAAGAACTGTCACATACAGGAAAAGAATCAACAACTTAATCAATGTCGGCTCTGGGCTTGGATCCTGAAATACTAAAAGGACATTAGGGGGGAAACTGGTGACATTTCAGCTAGAGTCTATAGTTTATTTAACAATATAATACCAGTGCTAATTTTCTGATTGAGAATTGTACTGCGGTTATGTAACTTGTTATTAAGAGAAGCAGGGTGAAGAGTATACATGAACTCTCTGTACTATTTTTGAAACTTTTTGTTAAGTCTAACATTATTTTTTTTAAAAGAAGAGGTAGTGCCCAGATAAAGTAGCTCAGTTGGTTGAGCGCCATCCCGTGCACCAAAAGGTTGCTGGTTCAAGTCCCGGTCAGGGCACATACCTGGGTTTCAGGTCTGAAGCCCAGTCAAAAAGTGTATGGAATGTTTCTCTCTCAGATCAATGTCTCTCCCCCCGACCCCCTCTCTCTCTTTCTTCTAAGTATGTCCTCAAATGAGAATTTAAAAACACAATAAAATAAAAAGAAGTGGTAGCTACTGAGACAGGTCTGCTACTAACTTGTGATAAGTGCTTGGATAAATCCTGGTCCCTCCTGGGCCTCAAGATACAATGAGGATGATTAAAGAAAATGTTCTTTCCAGAGAAAGAATGAAGACTTCAAAGAAAAAAATTTCCTAGGAATAGTCCAATACACTCTTCCAATCAAAACATTTTAAAAAATTTATTTTTCATATGAATTGACAAAGACCAAGAAGAACTATACAGAAAAGCAGATGCACAAGAGAGCAAGTGACTGGCCCAAAGACACAGTGAATGAGGATGCCTAGAACTATGCCACTCCTTCCCTCATACCGTTGAAGCGGTCAATGGCCTCTTGACGCATGTTCCCAGTGATTCCACCATCAATACGTTCATATTTATAACCTTCATGTTCCAAAAAATCCTCTAGCAGGTCCAGCATCTTGGTCATCTGGAAAAGGAGCAAGTTTAATTATGGGAAAGTCAGATGAAAATTCTTTCCCTCATGTCACTGAGGGTGTTTATTGCTATCTCTTAAAGGTCCCAGCTCAATCCACATAATACCTGGGAGAAGATGAGTACACGGTGCCCACCCTCCTTAAGGTTCTTGAGCATCTTCTGTAGAAGCAATAATTTCCCAGATGCTCTGATTAGGGCACTGCCATCATACATGCCATTAGGCATCTTAGGGGCTTCCTGAGGAGAGAAGCAAAGAAGAAAAAAACATTGAAAGAAAGCCCAACACAGCAGTTCCAACCCAGGGAGGAACAAGAGTGGCACAACATACCATTGCAGCCACGGGAAAGAGATATGGGTGGTTGCAGCACTTCTTAAGATCCATCACCACATTCAGCAGAGAGACCTGGTTGCCACCACCTCGAGCATTGAGTGCTTCAAAATTTCGAGTGAGGATGTACTTGTAGTATTTCCTGCATGGGCAAGGGAGGAAGATAAGTCAGACTCAAGTCTCCACATGCCTCAAAATGCAGTCCTAAGATCTGAGATCTTCCTTCCAATATATCTCACTTTGGGTCTAAGGAAACCTAACAAGCACTACCACCACCACCATTTTAAATAAGGTAAGGTATAACTAACTACATAAGAACCAAGAGAAAAAACAATAAAAAGAACCAAGAACTCCAGCTGCCTGGCATTAGATGTCTTTAGGCCTTGCTTACACCTGTCACCAGGTGCCTTGAAGCAGAGTGTGGTGAGGAATAAGAAACACTCTGCAACCCAGCCAGTGTGGCTCAGTGGTTGAGCATCAACCTATGAACCAGGTCACGGTTTGATTCCCCGGTTCGATTCCCCGTCAAGGCACATGCTCAGGTTTCAGGCTCAATCCCCACTTGGGGGCGTGCAGGAGGCAGCCTATCAGTGGTTCTCTCTCATCATTGATGTTTCACCTCTCTCTCCCTCCCCCTTCCTCTCTGAAATAAATAAAATATATTAAAAAAAAAAAAAAACACTTTACAGCCGGGCTGATGTCTAACAGTATTTGCAAAATGGAGTCAATATTTCGTTCCTTCTGACTCACTTTTGCATAGGGCTCAGTTCCACACGCACAATCAGCTCTGTCTTAGATGGCATATTCTTGAACACATCAGCTTTGAGCCGCCGCAACATGTGAGGCCCCAGCATGTCATGCAGTTTTTTAATCTGATCCTCCTTGGCAATGTCAGCAAACTCCTCCAAGAAGCCTTCCAAATTGCTTCAGAAAGAGAAAGGAAAACATTGTTGGAGAGGGAGAAGGAAAGTGATATAAGAAATGGACAACAGGAAGAGCAGAAGCAGAATTGAGTCGATTATACATTAACACACACTTACTGGAACCTCTCAGGGGTGAGAAAGTTGAGCAGATGAAACAGCTCTTCCAGATTGTTTTGTAATGGAGTCCCAGTCAGCAGCAGCTTATGCTGGAGTGAGTAACCATTTAAGACCCGGAAGAACTGGTGAAGCAGATGGAGAGAGGTGAAACTCAATGAAATGAGGGCTCCAGTATATCTGCAGAACTCCCAAGCTGTTTCACTGACCAATACTTTGGTTTCCCACCCCCAACTCCACCTCTCTTTTAAGGCCTGGCCACCAAGGGGTATCAGTAAGGAAGAAAAGCAAAGACCGTTTTTCCCTTTCCTCTCCTCCTAGGTCTCCCCTTATGAGTAGGTGGTATTAAAAACTAACACTGGAGGCCATAATCTCCCTCCCTCCCCCCTCACCTTAGACTGATTGTTCTTGAGCCGATGGGCTTCATCCACAATGAGGCAGGCCCAGTCAATAGAGCCCAAGATAGCCATGTCAATGGTGATCAACTCATAGGACGTCAGCAGCACATGGAACTTCACAGATGCCTCTTTCTGCACAAGACGGCAACCTGGTTACTAATGTTCAACTTTTCCAGCATCAGCAAACCCAAGGGACTTATGGGGCTTTTCCCTCCTTCCAGCTGTCATCTTTTTCACCTCATCCCAGGAACCCGGTCACAAGGAGGCAAACAAAGCCCGTAACAACAACTCCCCCTTGAGAGTGATCTCCCTTCCACTGAGATACCTTCATGCGAGAGGCCTTCTTGCCACCACGAATGGCGTTGTCTTCAAAAGAGAACTCATTTTCTCGGATGATGGCCCGGCTGTCTTTGTCGCCCACATAAGTCACCACATACATATCTGGAGCCCACATTTCAAACTCCCGCTCCCAGTTGATGATGGTAGAAAGAGGGGCACTCACTAGGAAGGGGCCTTTGGAATGACCCTTTGAGGAAGAAACGAAGAACAGAGTAAGGACAAAGGGCCCATTCCACTACAACCCCAGAGCCCACCTCTACCCCAAGCCCCAGAAACTATCCAAGTATTGGCATGCACCTGCTATTCCTACCCTGACCTTCTCTATGTATGAAAACGCTCTGCCCACTCCTTTCCACAAGGCCATACCCGCCATTATAGAGAACGCAAAACCTTACCTCTTCCATGAAGTCTTTCTATACTAATTCCACCCATAATTCTGCTGATCTCAACATAAATCCATAGAGGCTCTATGTACCCACCACTAATCCTACCTATGGCTCCATGCCCCCAAATATTTCTCTGTGTACATGTGTCTTATCTTACTGTCATTCAAGGTTAGCAATCATTTTTTTCTTCTTCTCTCTCCTCAGAGTGTAAGAGAAGACCATGAACACAAAATACCCCCACAAAGAAATAATAGGCCCAGCTTTCCTACCTCCTTGTAGAGAGAATACAGGAAGACTGCTGTCTGGACAGTTTTCCCAAGGCCCATCTCATCAGCCAAGATGGTATCTGTGCCCTGAGCCCAGGAGAAACGCAACCAATTCAAGCCCTCCATTTGATACGGGTGCAGGGTTCCACCTGTGGCATCCAGGTACTCTGGCTGTCGCTCATACTTCACTGTTGGCTGAAGGATGAAATAAAGAAGTCGAGAGCTAGCAAGGGATTCCCTTGCTTTCATAACAGAGCTGCCTCCTGCTCACACATTTTCACTATATCCTCCTTGGGGGAGCCACAAAAAATTGTGGAGAAAAAGATCCTCATTAATTATTGTAACTTTGTGTTTGATAACAACCTATCAGGCAGGTGAAGGTCTTGGGATCCCACAGATCTTTGAGAAAAGACATATCATAGCCTCCCTAGCAATACATTAATTCTGCAGTCAGGATCCACCAGATAATCCTGTCCCCCGTCCCCACTGCTGCCCCCAAGATTCATCTTTTTAACCTTAATCGTCCTCACATCTCACACAGACACACACCAGAGGAAATAAGCCATGAATTAAGGATCAGAAGACCCAGGTTCCAATGTTTCATAAAAGCTTGGTTGTATGATCACCTCACCCCCACCCCCATAACACTTCCTCAGTCATTTAAAACACCAGCTCCTGGCCCTAGCCAGGTAGCTGAGTTGATTAGAGCATTGTCCCAATACGCAAAGGTTGCAGGTTCCATCTCCAGTCAGGGTACAAGAAATAACCAATGAATGCATTAATAAGTAGAAAAAACAATGTGTTTTTCTCTCTCTCTAAAAATCAATTAAAACAAAACAAAAATACCACTACCTCCTATGCTTTTATTTTTCTGACAACGAAAAGATTTGCAAACAGACTTCATGAAGCATTCTCAGCTATAAACTTACTACCTGCACCATCACTAGATTGGAGCACACAGATACATTGTCCTACCCGGTAACCTGTGTCCTCCCGCTTCTGCCCCAACTCACATCGACTGTTGGAGTCTCCGGCGGCCGCTCCAACTTCCTCAGCTTCACCTTCTTGAGCTTCTTGCCTGGCCGCCCTTCTTCGCCCCTCATTAACTCCCTGAAAAAGACAGACATCACACCACTGTCTAGGCTCCTCAATAAGAAGCAACTCTACTCCACACCAAAGTGACTCACCTGTGATTCCAATAGCTCTGCTTGAACAAGTCATAGTCCTGTATCTCCACATCCTCACTCTCCCAGGATGCCTGGTCATAAGGCAAGTCCCGCCACTTGATCAAGTAGTGGACATGGCCCTTCTTGTCCACACTGCAAGGTTAAGGAGAGAAATCCTCAGAGCCAGAAGGCTACCTCCTCTCCTCTTACGTCAGCCTTCCTCTCAAAAACTGCCAATAACATATGTTCCAACCAGACCTGGAGGTGGGCCAGATATATATTCAGAGCCTCTACTATACCAGTCTTTGGACCAAAAATTATCTCTAATATATAGTCTCCTATATATAGTCTCCTATCTCTAATATATAGTCTCCTATGGCTCAAATACCAGGATTCAGTCAGTTAGTAACAAGTATAAGTTACTGGTGATGTCCGTTTTCATAATCCCTTTGGCAGCAATCTCCCAGTGGATATGCTGCCTATCCTTCCATATGCCCGACAACCACAGTCTGGCCCAGCTCCACTGGTACCTGTGGTTGAGAATTCGGTGGATCATCATCCACTCAGGTTTTATCCCATAGCGATAGAAGCGTTCCTCCATCTCTGCAAATTTAGGGTCCTTGTTCTTTCGCTTTCGGCTCTTCTCTTCGTCACCACCAAAATCCCCAGAAGTGGCTCATCCATATCATTCTTCCGCTGATAGTTTCGGAACATCACTTGACAGTGCAGCTCCAACTGCAAGCAGAAAGAGGTCACCAAGGAGCTGTAGTCACTCCTACCCACAAGACTGTTCTCGCGACCCTTTTTGTTGTAACCCCCACATCTCTGGCCTATCCGGGTTTACCTGCAGTTCAGACACCCAGGAGCAGTGCCAATAAGACATGCCTTGCCATTTCACAAAGAACTGTCGCTCTGGGCGCCCCTCCAAGGGCTTAGGGGAGGGAGTATTGGGATCCGCATCTGGAGGCCGAGGCACTGGTGTGGGAGATGGTGGCTGACCCCACTTCCAGATTAGGATCTTCTGGACTTTGCCCTTAAGAGCTGGACACTGAGAGAAAAAGAGATGATCCAACACCAAGTCATTACCATGGGGAGGAGATAGTATAGCCCACAGCCTCAACCTTATCCAAGAATTATTAAAATCTCATTGCAAATAAGATCTAATCCAAGGACTCTTCTAGGGAGAGAATAATAGAAATCCCTTTTCACTTCTGGACTTTGCCCAGGATTTGTGTGACATGATCACTACTACCTGCTTAACAGAGCTAATAGCTAGACTTCAACAATAACCTGGCCGAGTAGTTTAGTTGGCTAGAGCATCGTCCCAATTTGCCAAGGTTGTGGGTTTGATCCCCAGCCATGGCACATAAGGATCAACCAAATGAGTGCATAAATAAGTGAAACAACAAATCAATGTGTGGGTTGGTTTTTTTTTTCTTACTCTCTCTAAAATAAAAAGGAAAAAAAAAAAGCAATAACCCAGAACGAGGAAACAGAAAATCCACAGAACCTACAGCCCAGAATTCCTCTTAAGCAATCCAAAGCAATAAGTGACCCTTTTAAATCATTCTAAACTACCATGACCCCAAGGCTGAGTAAGTGGCAAAACCAGGATGGTCTAGACTAGAACACTGCACCATCCCCCTCAAGACAGCTGACAAACCATCAATTCCTCTGTTCAAAGTTAGTCAGTCATACCTTTTCCCAAAACTACATGAGGAAGGAAAACGCCTGTCTCAGGGCTAAAAGGTTTACAGTTCTCCAACAACCTCTACTGCACCTCAGCCTCACGATGCCTACACACAGAAGGGTTTGTAAAACCCTCCCCACATCCCTCACCCTGGCTGGGGTCAGTCACTCACCGTGCAACGGGGACAGAGCCACTCGCCATTGGGGATCTCTGGAAGCGGGGGGTTGAGGCAATGGATATGGTAGGAAGAAGGACAGGTGTCACAGCAGAGCAGTTCCCCACCATCCTTGCAGACCCGGCAGAATTCCATATGGTGGTCATCCTCCTCTTCAGGGTCTCCCCCAACTTCTTCCAGGATCTCCTCACCCTCCGAATTATCCTCTTTAGCCTCCCACTGGATGCCTTCCTTCTCCTACAGTAAAGAAAAACAGAGTCAGATTATTGCCACCCCCCCACCCAAGGCTGAACCACACATCATTCCATCAAATGCTTCCCAAAGCCCATACCAGCAACACCACCATTACTCCCACCAAGGCCCAGAAAAGCTTTATCCATCCCACCCTTTCCCTCGAGGGTCCCAAAGGGCCACAGTGGCCAGGTACTCACACAGTGTGGGCAGCTCCACTTGCCCTCCGGAGCCTTCTCCATATCCGGATCCAGGCACACCATGTGGTAAGCTCGGGGACAGGTATCACACAGGATGATCTCGCCGCCTTGCTGGCACACCTCGCAATAGTCCTGGTGGTCTGTCTCATAACCATCCATAGCAGTCACCTCCTCCTCGCCTGGGCAAGGAAGAGGGAAAGCCCAATTATTAGAAAAAAACTACCTCCCCCCTCCCCCACCCCCTACCCTAAAACTAACCCACCCCTATCTCCTTAGGGAGATTCTTCCCCGGTCATTCCCTCCCCATCAAATCACATATAGATTCAGAAAAGAAACACACCTTTCTTTTTCTTTTTAGTAGTTCGAAGTTTCTTGCGGCTGCGGCTACTACGGCTGGTGGAACCATCAGAAACAGAATAGCTGTTGATACTGGCATCATCGAAGTCAGATTCTACATCTAAGTCGTCATCCTCACTCTGGAAGAATAAAAGGGAATAAGGTTAGAGGTTCAACCCAAGGGGAAAGAGAGGTAGAAAAGGACAGCCTCTCTTACTAGGGGTACTAGAATCCCAGCAAGGATTGTACATGGAACCTAGTCACCTGTTCTGTGGCCAACTCCCTACATCCTATGTGCCTACTGCATAGGCTATATCCTGATCTAAGGTAACATCCTCCCTATTAGATATGGCACCCTCAACCAAAAGGATGGGCTGGGCTCTCACCGAGGATCTCTTACGCTTAGAACCAAAACCTCCCAGCTTGATTTTCAGGGGAGCCACTTTTTTGGGTTTAGGCTTCTTGGCATCAGGTATCCGAGGACTGCCTTTGGGCTTCCTCCGAGCATTGGGACCTAAAATCAGGAGAGAGCAAAGTAAGATGATACAATCCAAATACACATCACAGGATAGAAGATGAGGAAAATATTAAAATGTTCTCCATCTAAGCTGGCTTCCCCATGTTCAGCTTCCCAAATTTCCCTCCTAAATCCAAAAGTAATTCCTCCCTCTTATCGTCTATCTTTGGGCTGACAGAATAGCATTTCCATACTTTGTCTGTCTTCGCCATCCCTAAGCCCACACTAGTCGCCCACCCACAAGTCCCACTTTACCTTTGCCCTCCTTGGTCTTGGCCTTGCGGATAGGCACCTCCACCGGGGGAGGAGGTGGTACAACTTCAGTAGCGGTCACCATGCTCTCCACCACAGCCACTGCTGCAGCTGCTGCTGCTGCCACTGAAGCCCCAGAACTGCCTTTGAAGGGGTTGTTGGTGCTGAATTCCCGCCACTTCGCACCCAAAACCATCATCATCTTGGAGACAGCAATCTTGGGGTTTTTGGCAGCAATGAGGGGTCTGGTGGAGAAATGAATGAGAACAGAAAACAGGGAAAAATTTAGGAGTAAGAGAGGGAAAGAGAAGTGAGAAGAGATTATAGACACCCTCTCCTTCCCTTGCCCCCGACCCTCCTGTTTACCGGACAAACTGGCTGAAGGCCTTATAGTTGGTGAGGGTGCGATAATCCTCCTCGGAGAACACATGGTCAATGTCTTCCATGCCCCAGTCTTCCAGAAGCTGAGCAGATGATTTAGGCTCCTGCAGAGAGAGCAAAGTCAAAGACCTGACTCCTAATGCCTACACCTGCTAAGGGAATTGGGTTGAAACTAAGGTTTGCAAGACCAGAGTAAGAGAGCTAAGAGGAAATCTTTAGAAATAGGTGGGGAGAAAATGTTCTAATGGGCAGAAAATGTCCTTTGGGAAACAAAGGACAAACAGTACTGAGGATGGAGGTCCAGGTACCTTTGAATCATCATCATCGTCATCCTCCTCCTCTTCCTCCTTCCGCTTGGATTTGCTTTTTTTTTCTTTCTTGGGTCCAAGCTTCTTTTTCTTCTTCTTGCCAGGGGTATAGTCGCTGCCCTCACTGTCTGAGCGCAGAGCCACCTCTTCCTCCTCCTCCACAAACTCTGGCCCCTCCCCAGAGCTGTCCCCCAGCTGCCGGCATAAGAGCAAACGCTGGAGCAGGGAAGGGAGGAGAGGGAGACAGACACACACACGCTACACACATGCTGACCTCAGGATTGCCCTAAGGCTTGTCCCCAGGACCTGTGGCCTGCACTCCAGAGGAAGTAACAGACGCTCCTGCCCTTCAACCCTCTTCAGAGCTCCTCCCTTCTTCCTCTTATTCCCCCATCGCATCCAGTCACCCACTCACCTCCTTTTTTTGGCGCTTGCTCTTAGGGATTTTAGGGTCCCGAGGTTTCTTAGGTTTCTTCTTCTTCTTGAGCTTTGGAGTCTCTGCTTCTGACAAATCCTCTTCTGGGTCCTCTTCGTTTTCTACATGTATTTGGCAAAGAGAGGAAGGTAAGGAAAAGATCAATAGCAAAGGTTAGCGCCTAATCCAGAGGCTTTAGACATTATTCCCCCACCTCTTGTCCCAGATTCCACTGAAGAGACTGCTATACACCCCACAGAAGGAAGCTGAGACTCAGGACAAAAAAACAGACAGAGAGAGAGCTGGATAGACCCGAAATAGGCCTGCCAGGCCAGACCAGACCCACCTTGGGCAGCTGTCCAGACCCCTGCCTCCTCTCCCTATTCCTAACAGGAGTCTTCTATATGCTATCTTCAATGCAGCTAAATCAATCTGCTTAGAGTTAACCAAATAATACAAATAGGTCTAGCCCTCCTGTAACTGCCTACCAAGTGCTCTATAAATCAGGGAATGAGAATGAAAGATCCTACCCAGATGGCAAAAACTAATGCATATATCTCACCACATTCCCAGAACAGTGTCAGTTCAGGGGTCCCAGAAACCACACCTTTCAACCACCCTTTTGGGTCATCCCAGATCAAAACAACCAGAACCTCCAAGTCCCAGGTTCTGTTGCCAGCCCAATCCCAAACATAATTTCCTTTTCCCATCTCCAGCTCTACTGTTCCCAGCTTCTCCTGGGTCAGTAGTCTCTTCTCCCCAGGGGCCCAAATCAGCCCAGCTGTCACCATCTCCTCCCCCCACCCCCATCCTCCTCCCATCTGGCTCCACCTCCTCCCCTGGCTGGGAGCACACACAAAGCCTTGGGTAATACAGAGAGCTCCTGGGCAGGGATAGGTGGGAAGGGGCACAGAGGGGGAGGAGAAGGCCAGGAGGCAGCTTCCTTTGTAACAGACATTCAAACCAGCACACCAGCTCCCTCTTCCCTCCTCCCTCCTCTTTCTCCTTCTTCCCAAGCCACCCCCGCCCAAGGAGGGGGGTAGTGGAGAAGGGAGTGGAGAGAAGGAGGGAGTGCCTCACCCACTGAGGAGAGGGAAAATGGCTCCTGACCGCAGAAGCCAGCCAGGGCACCCAGCTGCCAACATAGGACAGACAGGAAGTGGCAGGGGAGGGGGATGGGTTGAGAGAGGTAGCTGGGGAAAGACTACCCTGACGGAAGACTTCCCAAATTATTACCTGGTCAAAATGCCACCTCTCCTAACACCTCCTCTGGGATGACACAGTTCTCAAGCGGCTATCCTAACATCCAAGTCAAAGAAACCCAAGACAAGCATGAAGGTAATACTATGAAAGGGACTGGGTTACTCCCTCAATCCTAACTATTTTTTCAATCATCAGAGCAAAGATTTAATAAAGGTTCGGTGGGACTGTGGTCAGAGCATACAACCTTCTCCTCAAGTTTCTGATACCCCAAATGATTGACCATGCGGCATGGGAGCCCCACAAGAAGTCTCTGAAACTCAGTTTCCTCATCACCCCCACCCGGAGTCCAGAGCACAGATCCTAAGCCACCTCTTGCCACCTACCCAATATTTGGGAGTCATGTCCTCACCAAGAAAAAAGGACACTCCCTAGATGGTGGTGGACAACAATATGCTTCCTTCAATCCTACACATGCTCTTAGCTCCTGACCCTCAGAACTAGCCCTAAAGTGCCTCTGGCTCCCACCCTTCCTGAGAAGGCAGATACTAGGGAACATGAGACATTAGGCTGGACAAAGCACCATCAGCCTCCCCCCACTCAGCCCAGGATCAGGCCAGGCACAAGAAAGCCCCTCCCATTCCCTTGGGAAGGGAACACCAGTCAGGATCTCACCAGAAAGAATCATTTTCTTCAAGGGCTTCTTTCTCAGCAATCCCTATGTCCCCACCCCCCATTCAACCAGCTACACCCCTGGAGTTTTCCTCTTCACTACCTCCATAAATGCTGCAAGTGGAGACAAGGACAACCCATGCAAGCAGAGGAGACACCTTCCAATCCACGTAAGACCCCCAAACTACTCAGGCAGATAAGGACTGACATTGGCGTGGCCAGCAGCAAACTGGCTCAGATATAGAGGAGGATTTGGGAAAGGGGCAGGAATGGGTGTGGCAAGTGGGAAAACTGGGTCATGCTACAGCTTGGGGCACAATTCACCTGGGCAGCCCGCACATCTCCCAATAAACATGGGGGCAACCCCAGACCAAGGGGCCAGCGGGAAGCTAAGATGTGCAACCAGCTCTACTCTGGCGGGATGTCACTACTTCTCAGGCCCCTCACAGAAAAGATGGAATCGTGACTACCATTCCACCACCACCCTGGGCAATAGCACAGAAACCTGCCACCCCTGCCCTGCAGTGAGGAGACTAAGCCTAAGTTTTTTATCCCAACAGCTGAAGACTCAGTAACAAGACTGACCACTCTCCTAAGTGGCCTCAGGTGGAAGTGAAGACTTCCAACTCAGAAAATACCAGATGTAGAAACAGCTCTCTCCCAGACCACCTCAACTTGCCACTAGAGCTGAGGAGAGAGGAGGCAGAAGTGAAAGATGGTCCATGGGAAACAGAAACAGGACCGGCAGGCTCCAGAATGAAAAATAAATAAATAAATGTAAGTGGAGAGTATGAAGAAATGGCATGTAGGAAAAAAAAATTAAACTAGAAAAAAAGATCAAGGAAACAAGCAGGTGACTTAGCTGGGGGTTCTGAAAGAGAAACAGACCAGAGAGACATCCGCTTAGAAGCATGACATCAATCATCATTTGGGGATAGACAAGGGCTACTCCAATAAGGCAAGGTGGTTATAACCATACAGGTTTGGCCAGTTCAAGGAGCCACCCCAAAATACAGACAGCACAACCCCCAACACACCTACACAAACACTTCACACCATCAGCCCAGATCCCAGGCTACCTGCAGAGACAGAAATCTCTAGGGGGGGAAAGCCTGGATTATGTCCATTTGCCTGGAGGACGGTGGCCAGAGTGTCACCTCCCTTCTCTTACACTTCCTAGTATGTGGGTCAGGCTAGTACATGCTGCCCCTCACCCCCTCACCCCCACCCAGCTCCAAACGTTCCCGCAGTCTGCCTGGCTCACAGAGCTCTCTCTCCATCTCGGCTAAGGAGCGCACTTCAAACTTCGCACAGTTGAAACAGCACAGAAAACTGGTAACTGATCAGAAGCTAAAAATAATCAGATAGAGAGTAACCAGCGACTCCCTCTTTCCTTTCCACAGCAGCAGCAACCACAGGATCCCAGCTAGCGGAGATGCCCAGCTGGTCTCATCAAAAGGCCATCCTCAACCCCCTCCCCGCCACCACGCCGCCTCCAGGGGCCCCAGCTACCTGCATTCCTCCAAGAACCCACACACCGTCATGCCTGCCGGCCCAGAGAGCTCCCTCAACTGGGAACTGCAGAGCATTCCCGAAGACAGACAGTGCAGCAAGCTGGCATCTCTGTCCTCGGGGCCCAGGAGGCACATGGCTCCCCCCACCCCCAAGAGCTCCGCAGAAGGGAGCCACTCCCTTCGGGTGCCCTCTACACCTCGGGCTGCACGGAGAGAGAGAGAAACTCAGCCCGGTCTCACCGGAATCACTAGGGAGGGCCCACATGCCTCCTTCCTGCCCGGGGCCCTTGGGGAAGACTTACCTGGGTGGGGTGGGGGCAGGCTGTTGTTCAAAAGTGCATCCATATCCTCCTCTTCGCTGCCCGCCGAGCAGGGGGACGGAGAGCCCAGGCCCGACGCCATCCCCTTCCGCTCCCGGCCAGGAACCG